TTATTAGCATAATTAGTTAATTTTCAGCTTTTCACCTGATATCTCAAGTACTAATCATCACATTTCAATGAGACTTGCGACATAGATATTCTAGGACTATGCAGAGACCTGATTAATTTTGGGATAAATAATTGTGCCTATTAATTACCTAATTTGCATAACTAGTTAATTTTTTGCTGTTCTATGATGTCTAAAAACCACTCATTGGATTTCAATGAAACTTTTAAAGAGTACCCATCACATTTCAATGAACCTAAGACTATGCACCATATTAGTTTTTGGTAACTATTTATGCTTCTTAATCACTAATTAACATAATTATTTAATACTGATATCTCAAGTATTGATCATCACATTGAATAAAACTTGGTACATAAATTCTCTAGGACAATAGACAGTCTGATTAATTTTGTGTTAAAATCTGTTCATATTAATTCTCTAATTAGTATAATAATTAATATTTTTTTGGTTCTAATCACATTTCAATGAAACTTGGTACATTGTGCAGACCTTATTAGTTTTACACTTAAATCTGTTCATATTACCAGGTAGTTACCTTATTTGCATAATTAGTTTTCAGCTATTCCATCAATATCTCAAGTATAAGTAATTTTGAATTAATTTGTAATGTGTCTCCAAAACTCTCAGCACACGGGAGTTCTTTCTAAGCTTTCTTTGATTAAACTTTAGATTACATCATACATCTTGTCCCACATATGTATATGTAAATATGTTCTTTTGACAATTCATTTCAAGATGGACAAATGGTGGCCATTTTATTGTTAAAAATTCTCTGAAATCTTTGTCCAAATCAAGTATTTTTGTAAATCTGTCTCTTGCTCATACACAGACAGATTTTGTATGTATATTCATCTTTATGGGACCTTAACATTTTAATCACCAGACTTTCTCACCCACATTTTTCTGCACTTTTTTCTTATATTCTTCAATATTTCTGGGTAGAAATGAGTAAAAACATTGGATATATCTGGCAAAGTATAGTTTTAAATGGGAACTGTTTGCTTTACTAAATGAAAATAGATTAGGCTTAAGAAATGTGGGTCTTACTTTCATCAGGAAATGAACGTGTGCCCTTAAAAAGAGCAGCCAGTCAGAATAATTTTTAGTTAAAACTAATCCACATTATTTGTATATTTTTGTTACAGCATGTGAGGATATCATAGCAGAAAGCTTGTGTCAAGACAACTTGATAACCATACTGAATTGGAGCTCACAAGCACATGGCTCACAGTGGGTTAATAGACAGGCTATGCACTTTCTACGTGAGGAGTTTTTGGCAATAGCGACATCGCCGGTTTTATGTGAGCTCAATAAAGGCTATCTGATTGAAGGATTGAAATCAGATTATTTACAGGTACGTAATAAAAACACTTGTTGGTATTCAAAGCTACATGTGATGGATTGTATAGTGGTTTTTCGTGTACATTAGTAAACCATTATTCCATAATTACATGCTGCTTACAGCCAAAATAGTTACAGCGCCCTCAACATTGCACCTACTGTATTGCTTTTGTTTGAATTTGTTAGCCATGTATTCTAGTTATAAATTTATAATGGTCATGGTATGAACTTTGATTTCATTATTGAGATTCTATATGATTTTTAACAATTTATATATAAACATCATTTTTTGTCACCTGTGGTTTTGTTGGAGTTGTGTGTCAGATGCTGTCAGTACTATGGTGTACTGCTGACTGACAAAATTGTTATTAGTCCCCGTTCGGAGGAAGTCCGAAAACTGGGACTTATAATTCGGTCTCCGTGCGTCTGTCCGGAGTCGTATCTCAGAATCCCTTGGACCGATTCCGTTCATTCTTTGCATGTGTCTAGTACTTTATGTGGGACATATGCACATGCAGTGGTTTAGTGATTCGATTCAAAATGGCCGACTGGCAGTCATTTTTGGTAGAAAGTGATATTTTCGACTTCTTGTTAAAAACTGTAAGTCTGATTGCTTTGATACTATACATATTGTTCATTTTCTAATGGCGTCTTCAGTTCTTTAATTGAAATGTGCATTGCTAACAGCGGAGCTATCTCAGCCGATAGGCTGCTTGTTTGAAAATGTTGTATTTTGGACATGCTTTGTCAGTTGTCATTCAAACTTGGTACATAGATTATACATGTTAGGATACATGTCCATGATGATTTATTTCACAATTTGATCAAAGATGGCCGACTGGCAGCCATCTTGTTTTTTGAAAATGTCGTATTTTGGACATGCTTTGTC